GCTGGGCCGAGGGCAGCGCGCGCCCGTTGGTGCCGCGGCGGCACAGGCACACGGCCACGCCCACCACGCACGCGAACACCACCAGCAGCCCGCTCACCACGCTCACCACGAACAGCGTCAGGCTCATCCCCAGCACCGTGTTCATGTTGTTTTCTGCGAACACAACAGGCGCGAACGCGCGCAATTCCGTGAGCACAAAAAGATCGGGTTCATGCCGAACACCCTGTTCAGGTTGTTTTTCTGCAATCACAACGGATAGAAAGGCTCAAAAGAACTCCGTGTTCAGGGTTGTTTTCTGCAAGCAAACATATGGAAAGACATAATTTATAAGCTCAAAAGAGTCGACTTCAGGTTGTCTACTGCAAGCACACAAGATAGACACAAGCACAAATGAGTCAGATTCACGCTGAACACAGTGTTCAGTTTTCAGCAAGCACAATAGATGGTAAGGCGGTACTTTGGTGAACACACGTTTTTTGTTTCTGTAATTTTCTAGAAATAGAAATATTCAGTAATTTAGAAAACGTTAGATTAGCATGTGTCGTCTAAAATCAATGATCATTCTATTCAAGTTGTTTCATCTAAGCACAAGTGATGACATAATGGTTCAGAGTTCATATAGTAGCAAGCTATCACCACCCGAGCAAGACATACAAAAATCTGTTCCCAATTTGTTTACCTGAAACAACTGAGATGGCAGAAGTGATGGAGTGTGAGTATAGGAGAAGGGCATCAATTGAAAACCACATGCAGAGGAAGAAATTTGTACAAAGTTGTTCAATTGTCAGCGTGTTAACTTCGGACTCGACGAAAAATATTGTGTGTTAGAGAAGAATTCATTTTTTGGTATCTTTCTTTTATTTCCGTAATAATTTTTGCAGTGATGTAATTTCTCGCGAGCACTTTTGTGAATGCGTAAGATGCAGAGGGCGCGTAGGGCTCATAATTAGGCTATTGAACTGTCGACATTAACCAGCATAATTTCCCTCATCTCAAAACGTGTACACACATTTCTTCAAAATATATGTTTCAATGCATGTCTGGTCATTTCAGCTGTAGTCTATGTTGGCCAAACATTCTTGCAAAGTAAATCCTGTAAAAATATCATCCTTTGCGCTGGTTTCTGTAGTGATGTAACACAAAAAATTAACTAGTGTATATTGACCAACAACATCCCAAGCTTGCCGTATTTTGTCATATCTCTTGCTTTTTCCATTTATTCGTATTTCACTTGCAGCAAAATCCGCTGTCTTTGATTCGTTGATGTTTCTTGATATACGGGACTTGTTCAAGGTCTTAACCTCCCAGGAGTACAGTTTAAACGCAGAATGCGAGCGATTCATTGGTCTTCTGCAATAATATTGAGAGAATCGCAGGAAGGTGGAGGGGCTCACATTTCTTGTTTAACTTTTCAGTTCCAGGGTCATTGCGGCTCTTTCTGGAGATTGCGATATTGCTTTATTTTATCTATCTCATTGCCGCTTACTCTGAAATCTGCTGGATGGGCCACGCCCACTTTTCATATACATTTCTCTCCAACACCGCGATGCGATAGTGAGATTCGGCAATTATGATCCAATTGATGATGGTATGTATGGCACTGAGAATTCCAGAGTATTTTGGAATTCGCGTTGACGACCGACCTGTCGGATGCCTGAAAGCCGTACATTCTGCATAGATTCCAATATAGTTTGGGGACCGTTCTTCGTACCTTTTTGTTTAATTATGCTCTTGAATTTACTATTTTAAAATCCACATTTCACCCGACTGTTTCCCCCGACAGTTATGCCAAGTCATGATGAAAATGTTATATATGTGTGTCTCTGTTAGGTTGTCTATACAGATACTTGGTAGCGAAATATTTACGTAAAGTAGTTATTTTATTTCCATTATACGTATGATTGGGAACTCTTTATTGTTACTCAGCAATAAGAATACTTACTTCAGTTACATATCTCTCTGTATTAATCTGTGTATATATATATATATATATATATATATATATATATATATATATATATATATATATATATTCTATTGGAAACAACAATTTTCATAAACACATGTCCTCTCATAAATTCTCCTATTCTTATAATTATTAATTTACAAATTTTACATTAATACAACACTTGGTCTTCCTATAATGGCAAATAAAAATATATGTTCCCCGTTTTGCTACTTTTCTTGCACAGATCCATCGCAATCTTGAACGTCGTCCAGCTTCCATTGAGCCTCCATTTCCAAATGCATTCGGTCCACTCCGATGGTGTTCGAGTTTTTCGCACACGTAATTATATTGCCTCTCTAATTGTACATTAACTACTTTAAAACATCGCCTTTACAAACTAACAATTCAGTCTCAATCTTCCCACTTTCCCTCCTACATCTGAGTCACATCCTTTCCAAATATCTTCTTTTTTTTATCTCGCGCGCCCTTCATCTGTTCTCATCTGCGCGAAGTTATATTCAAACACATCTCTTCTTCGTTTCTCACGCGCCGATCATTCGATTCTTCTCACACGGTCTAAATTCTAATTGGTCACACACACTTCAACATATTGTCTGTTTATTCTTTCGTTTCCTGCTCTTAATAACTTCATTTATATTATGCCCCACGAAGTTCGCTCACGTGTTATTTCACTGAATTATTTTCAACATATTATGTATTTTGCATCCCGCAACCGATCTCCGTACGTGAGAGTACCATTATGATAGTAATAATAATAAAAATAGTAATGATAATAGTAATAATAATACTTTATAAGCTTCTCACAATTGATATTGAAACAGTTAGGTTCCTTGGTAATTAACACACCTCTTTTTAATTCACATTTTCTTTGCATGTTGTAACTGTTTCATTCGTGGCGATCTTGAAAATTCTTCATTTCATAGCAAAATAATTTTATGTATGGTAATTGTTTTGACGAACACTTCACACTTAGTCACATGAGTTACGGGGTCGAAATCTTATTTCTATAATTTTTTCACATATTTTTTAGGAGCACTTGCTTTATAAATAATACTTCTAAGGTACTTAAAAATATATATATTTGAAATAATTTTTACACATAGGAGTATGGATGATGCAGTACTACATTTATCTTCAATCCTCTTTTCCCATCTTTTTTTGCATGAATGATAATTCTCATACGTTTTTTAGCACCCCCATTTCCTCTCAAGTCATATTCCTCTTCACACTCCACCTAGATCGATTTTACATTCTCGTTTGCTGCTTAGGTAATAGATATGAAGTTCTGTATTGCTGCGTTAAAAAAAGCGCATTTTTCGGCAGAAAACTCTTACTATTACAGGACCCTGGTACCCTGGTAACGGAAAAGTGGATGTATACAGTTGTTAAATTTACAAAAAAACAACAAACAAACAAACAACCTCTAACACGTGGAATGAGGTGTAGACAGAAACCCTGTTTTGTGGGTCTTGATTCGGAAAAATTTGAATGACGGCTAAACGTCTGTGTGACCGTCCGTCTGTGAAAAACGCTAGCGGCCAAATCATTCAGCGGATTATATCCAAAATTGATATTACTCAACCGATCTGACTGATATCGTGGCCCCTTTATTTCAAGACCATATTTTAATTAAGGGTATACTTTACATGATGTTCCCGGAAGATCTTCCAAATTCCAAAAAGCTTCATATATCAAAAATTGAGATTTCACCTGTTAACAAAATATATTTATTTAAGAGAGATTTTGAAATAAAGTCAAATACAATTTTGTGAAAATATGAACACTTTTTCGTGGAATTTTGCATGAAAATACGGGCGAGAAAGTTCGTGCTGTTTTAGCACCGCCAGTTTTAACTTACTCTGCTGTGCCTTTGTTCTCTTGTATCCCACCAAGACAATATTTCGCTCCCCGCCTTTTCTCTTCTTCCACAGCCCCCCCCCATTCCACAGCAATCGTGCTCTTACCGCACGACTTCCTTCTTTCTACAAGCCCCCCCCGCCGCCGCCGCGAGGCGCCTCTCCGGGCGCGTGCCCCGATGTCGGGCGTGGACCGCCGAGGAATGCCCGCGGATCGGCATCGGTGGGCACAGCAGTGCCACGCGCGCAGGAATGCAAGGGGAATCGGTGCGGGAGGGGGCGGAGCAGGGGCGGAGCAGGGGCGGGGTGGTGGCCGTCATATGAAAGTGGTGCGATCGAGAGGCGAGAAGAGAAAGGGTCGGTGTAGGATAACGGAGTGGGACGGAGGAGCGGGCGACGCGGGTCGCAGTCGAGAACGGGAAGGAGCGAGGAGTGAATGAGGTGGGCTGGTAGCGGTGCGGAGCGGTGACGAGTCGAGCAAGGAGGAGGGAGCCCTTAGCTGAGCAACGGATAGGGAAGAGCGGCCGGAGTCGAAAGCAGACGAGGCGAGGGCGAGTTGAGGCTGAGGGGTGGAGGAGCGTAGACGGGTAGGGGCTGGGCAGGACAGCCATGCAAGCAGAAGACTGGTTGGGAGTCGGAGGCATTTAACAGCGTGCGTGATGTGAGAAGTTGAGGTAAAGCGAGAGCCCCGGAGGAGCGGCGTGACTTTGAGGCGTGGCGAAACGGGACTGCGGGAGAGAGCGCGAGGGCATAGAGAGAGAGGGCGGAGGAGCGGACAGGGGAGAGGGCGAGGCGGCCTGTTGGGTTTATCGCCCCGACAGCGATTGCCGCATTCCGCGCGCGGCGGCCACCAAACTGCACAGCGAATATTATGGATGGTCGCAGCGCCAGCGGCGCGCTGCGCCGCCCGCCTGGCCCGCCCGCACTGCCTGCGCCTTCGAGCCTATCCGCGCCGCACCCTCGCGTTCGTCGGCCCTCCAGCCCGCTCACCACCACGGCCCATCCGCCCATCGCCATCTACGCGCTATCCCGCGCCGCCCCCTCGCGCTCGCCCCTACAGCTCGCCCACCACGCACGCCACGGCACGCACCCACCAGCCCATCGAGTCTATCCCCCCGGCCCGCCCGCCTTCCGCGACTCGTCGGCCTCGCGCGCTCGCCTTCACGCCCATGCGCTATCGAGCTATTCCGCTCGCCACCGTCTGCTACTCCCACCCGCCCTCACGTCGCTCGGCCTGGCCCCATCGAACCTATCGCCTCCGCGCCCGCTCCCGCCATCGGCCCGCGCCTCCGCCTCCTCGCCCTCCGCCTCACGTTCAGCCCGCACGC